CCTCATATGTGGGATCTGAACCGGGGCCCTCTGGCATCCCAAGCGAGTTCTTAACCATCGCGCCACTCGGCCGGCCCTTAAATACCTTTGACACAAATATACAATATAAACCCAATGGTTGAATAATTCATGTTATAAGAATGAGTGACATCTACTGTCTTTTCCTCTTGGTCCAATCTCTCAATTATTTTCACTTTTGTTTCCACGATTGTTTCTTTGCGCTTCCTGGCAGTCCCCTCCACATCACCACTGCTTTTCCTCTTGCTTCCGGACATCCTGGGCTCTGATTGAGCACTGTACTACTGTACGCTATCGCACTGTACAGTAAGCATACAGCAGCACAACTGTGACAATGTCCAGCAGACACATGAACTACTTCCACAATTTGTTTGCATCTACGAATGTTTGTAATGTGAGGTCCATTCGTATCTGTGAAACTTTGCCACTCGAATGTTCTTAAGTTGGGGACTTACTGTAATAGATATGAGGAAATAAAGATGTTTTCAGACTTGGAAAAGCTGAAAGATTTATCATCAGCAGGAAAATGATACTGTTGGGTTGTCGGAAAAGTCATGACACATTTTTGCAATGAAAAACAGAAAAATACGTCATGACTTTTCCAACACCCCAATAGATGGAAAAGGATACTAGATGGAAACCTGGATCTACACAAAGGGAGCACTGGAAATAGTAACAACATGGGTGAATGTATGATTTATTCAAACCTCTTTAAAAGATTATTGTTGAAGCAATCATAATAATTGTTTAAGCAATCATAATATATTGTGGGCTTTATAATATCTGTAAAAGTAAAATGAATGACAATAATAGCTTAAAGACCAGAAAGGAAAAAAATAAGCATACTATTATAAGTTTATTGTACTATATATGAAATGATATACTATTATTTGAACATAGATGGTGATAAATTAAAGATGTATATTATAAACCCTAACACAACTACTAAAATAACAAACCAAATAATTGTAGTTATTAAACTAAGAGATGGAATCATAAAAAATATTTTATTCAAAAAATGACTGAAAAAGCGGTGAAAGAGAATAGAAAACAGATAGGATAAATAGAAAACAAAAAGTAAGATGACAGACACAAACCTAACCATATCACTAGTCACATTAAATATAAATAGTGTAAACATTCCAATCAAAAAGCAGATTGTCAGACTGAATTTTTAAAAAAAGGCCCGACTATATTATGCTTTCAAAAAATGTAAAGATACAAATAGGTTAAAAAAGTTATCATGCTAACACTAGTCAAAAGGAAGCTGGAGTGGCTATATTAATATCAAAATAGATTCCAGAGTAAAGAATATTAACAGGGATTAAAGAAGGTTATTTTATACTGATAATGTGGTCAATGTGACATAATCCTAAATGGTTTTGCACCTAATAACAAAGCTTCAAAACATGGAGCAAAAAACTAATAGAACTGTAAGGAGAGATAGACAATTATCAGAGATTTCAAAACTGTCTATAATTGATAGAACAACTTGCAGAAAATGTGTAAAACTATAGTTGACTTGAACAGTATCAACCAGTTTGACTTGATTGATATTTATAGAACATTCCACCCTACCACAGCAGAATACAAATTTTTCTCAAGTGAACATGGGACATTTATGAAGGTAGACCACTATGGCCTATTAAAATATCTCAATAAATTCAGAAGTATTCATCACAAATATGTTTTTACCCACAATGGAATTAAATTAGAAATCAATAACAAAAATACTTGAAAATCTCCAAATACTTGGCAACTAACAAGTCAAAGAATAAAGGGAGATTAGAAAGTCATTTGATCATCACTAATCATCAGGGAAATGCAAATCAAAACCACAATGAAATATCACCTCACACCAGTCAGATGGCTATTATAAAAATCAACAAATAATGTTTTGGCCAGGATGTGGAGAGAAAGGAACCCTTGTGCACTATTGGTGGGACTGCAAGTTAGTGCAACCACTATGGGAAACATTATGGAGATTCCTCAAAAAATTAAAAGAACTACCATATGACCCAGCAATGCCATTTCTGGGTATTTATCCAAAGAAAATAATCTAATTCAAAAAGATATATTCACCCCTATGTTCATTACAGCATTATTTGCAATAGCCAAGATAAAGAAGCAACTTGGGTGTCCATTGATAGATGAATGGATAAAGGAGATGTGATACACACACACACACACACACACACACGAGTATTACACAGTCATTAAAAAAAGAAATGAAATCTTGACATGTGCAACAACATGGTTGAATGTAGAGGTTATGCTACATGAAATAAGTCACACAAAGACAAATACCGTATGGTGTCATTTATATGTGGAATAAAGAAAAATGAACAAACAAAACAAAAACAGGCTCATAGAAACAAATCAAAGAGATGGTTATCAGAGGGGAGGGAGTGAGAGATGGGTGAAAAAAGTGAAGGGGAATATAGTC